CACCCACAAAATTTCGCATGTAGGCAGTACAGAGAGATATACAAGACTGTGTTCACTTTGTAACACGAGCAATAAACAAACCTCCCCGAGGGTGGTCGAAACGATGTCTCGAGTAAAAAAGCACTCTCCGTGAGATGCGGTTAAAAGCTTTTATATGTCTTCAATCACTGACATTTCTACATAGTAGTGGTGGTGCTTAGGATCAATCAATCAGCGGGGAATCCTAATCGATCCTCGTGTATTGATAACCGTTCTTACATGTTACCAGTACATTCACAGTTGTAGGTGCGATGAAAAGACTGGAAAAATCTGATTATTAACGACCAGTAGATCGATACTACAATGCTAACCAGCCCAAATTGGCATTTAAAGTTGGAATTAGTGCGGTTTAGCGACGACATGGATTTACCTCGTTGTTAATAATTGTATGTGTTGCTGAGATCTTTTAACTAGAGCTACACACTGTGTGTAAAGAACGTTTTTATTCGGTGATTAAATATACTAATGGAAAGCCAAGTACGTGCGAACGAGGAAGACAATAATCGTATAGTCGGTTATTGTATAAGTTACGTAAAGTAACACTACCTTCCTAGACAACAAGTAAACTTGAAAACTGTTATGTTTTATTATATTAATATTTGCTAGTAGTTTTTATTTCATAATACGTACATCGATAGAAGACCTGAACAAACCACCATCTACTACTACTTCTACTAAGGAAGATGACGATAATGGAGTCGACCTGTCCAATCAGACTATATATGATTTTATTTGCATAGTTGTATCCGAAGTTAAAAACAAACCGTTATATGCTATTGCTTTCACAATTGCTTGCACTGAAGCTGTCGTGATTCTCAATTGCTTAGTTAATAACTAATTAATGTCTCGATTATTCCTGTTGATTAACTCATGCGAGTATTTGTGTTTATGTACATACGATATACACAATAACAATGCATGATTGCATGGGCGAAGTTTGATGCCAATTTAAAAGAACGACAACGAGTTCAATACGTCCGTCGCTGCTGATAAGATTCTGAAAAGAATCCCTGTAAGTACATGTATCAATCGATAGATTATACCATGACTATACGTATCAAATTTCATGTTATCATATTGAGAACATATAGCATTTCAAAACATACGTCATATTTTCTATTTTAAATATACATTGCTACTATTATTTGTTATAGTGATAGATGATTATTGTTGTAAAAACTTGAGGTTCACAAAAAAAACGCCAAGAGGCTGTCGAAGTCATTTTAAATTTAGGTATGAATAATGCAGCACAAGCCCCAATGCAACTTTAGCTGATAAGATTACAGTGATCTTGCTAAAAAAAAGGCTTTGAATAAATAATATTTGCTATTTTTTTTCTTCGTGCATGAGACTATATCTGAAAGTTTGCTTTACGAGATAGTTATGAAAGGATGCCATGGGTAAGCGTCGCAATTGCCGAAGATTGTAAATTCGTAATAAATAATTTTGAACAATCGGGATTTTTATGGGATATTTGTTTTATGTACTATCCATGCTTATCGAGCTCCAAAAAACGAATTTCGATGAAATAACTGTTGTATGTGAAAAACCAACAAGGCGTTGGAAAGCTCAACTGTACATGTGTAATTCAACGCTACGACTTTTCTACATCCGCAGAGTAGAATGAAATCGATCGTTGAATGATACGAACGCACATTTCAAAACATCTTTGAAATGGTCGACCTTCATTAAAAAGGGACAAGCAGATGAGAATATAAATGTTCAAAGAAAACAACAAAATACGGCTTACCTTTTTTGTGTATGTAGAAAAATAGTTTTGAATCTTCAGGGCTCTTGTAGCTGTATGTCAGCTAGGAGGAGTATAGCAATAGTTGGATACGGAGCTGATGATGAGGTGCGTGGTGCTCGAGCTACGATGTGAATACTGAGTGAATACCACTAGCACGACGTACTTATATAGAAGTGCTGAACACTAGGTGGCAACGTGGCGACAAACACAGGTTATCTTCGGGGAAATGGAATCAGTGGTTGGTCGCGTGAACATCGATTATAAATCAGTGTCGGCAACGCTATACGTAATACAACTCCAATTATATGCCAGTGAAATGGACGCAACTATATTCTATTTCCGTCATTAATAAAACTTCCCCCCGTTTGAATTAATGGAGACCTTTGTTCTTTTGGCTTTCAACGACTAACGGTGGGATTTGCCTATCTGGAGCCTCCCCCCTGCCGACACTAAATTTGCATTTCAATCATCTACCCGTTCAATCGTGAGCCAATCAAGACGTATCTTTGACGCCAATTTCTGCCAAAGTGGTGAGAATTCTGACTTCATCTCGAGAACCGTACGTGCACAAACAAGCGTTTGTGGTTCTTGTGACTAATCTTATCGGTTTTATTTAAATTATTTTAACTTCTTACTGCACAACAGTGTTAAGTAGTTGCTCCCTGCAATTCCAGCTACGTCACTTCTTCCATGAACGTTATTATTCCAAATTGATTCTTTAGTCAAATTCTTGACTGGTCGTCAGTCTATCTGTTTTTGTTGTATACAATATTTCTACTCTTCTCTAAAAATAGGGCTCGGCAGCTTTTTTATATATATTTGTTATAATAGATTAAAGTATCGATTTATCGATTACGTATAATGGCGTCAGGAATATCGGTCATCATTTTTGCACTATGAATTACTTGTTAAAATGTTTCCAACGTTCTTCGGAATCTCCAACCACTTACTTATTTCCACTGTGGTAGTTACGATAAAATTAAAATAACAGTACGCATCTGCTCGATGTTGGTTGCACATTTCCCAATATCACTGTGGGCTATGATTGGTCATGTCGGATTTTAAGAACGTCTGAAATCGACTACTCTACTCGTTGCTCCTCCAGGCATGTGTAAGCATTCCTATGATGCATGTGGACCATTACGTGTCTGAATCTTAACGCTGCCGCCTTAAACAAAAAACTCGTCTACTAATCTTAATAATGAGTTCGACAAAATGTATCTAAATAGTCAGCAGATTGAGTAATTATTGAAATATCTATAAAACTTGAATGACAATTAACAATCAGGTAAATTTGTATTGCTTGTTTTTTTGCTTGGAAAACCCAGCTTTGATAAAATTTCAAACGTCTATATCGATAGATGTTTGTTACATATACATTGTTGATTGTTTTATGAAACGTTATTACTTAATATATGCCTCATTTGTTACAGTTGGGGTCAATTGTATTCGAATCAGAGCACCTCTGGCTGTATGCTGGATATAACACTGAAGGAAAAGTTTAAAAAGGTATCTAGTGATCGTGGGTCATTTACCCATTATTTGCATGATTTTATAATAGTCCAATTCCATTATTATTTAAACCAGCACGAACTGTAAAAGGCAAGTTCCAACTGATACAATTAATACATATTTTAAGAACACAACAATTACGACTGTTTTGTTTTGTGTTTAAACCAAAATATTCAATTCTAAGTATGGTAATTATCGTTTGTTATATCATAACAGGTAAAATAGTAAAGTAAAATAACAGGATAATTTCATAAAAGAATTACATGTGATCTGATCGACCTCGACTGATTATAGGTTTGGAAATCTACAATGAATGAATAAATTTATAATCGTTATATTCACTTAGGATCTCTATGCTAACCTGTAATTTGCTCTTATTTATTTTGTAGTGTAGCAGCGTTATCAATGTTAAGTCGCTTGATTTTGTTATATGTATATTGTACATGACGAGTATGATCCTTGGGATTAGCTTTCTATTATTATTATTGGTGTTATGTCAATCTTTTATTGGACAATGTATTTCATCTAGTTGTACGATCACAAGTGCCCTTTTAAAACACAGTTTATCATCTCATTTTCTGGTGATTCAATTATTCTTCTCGTGTTAACGCCGGACAGTGAGAACTGCGATGCGCTAAGCGTCCATGATATCTAATTGTTGTAATATCTTCAATTTGCCGTCTTTGTCATCTACTACTCGGGGCCATGCCATCGGTAACAATCGGTTAAAACAAGTCTGAGAAATAAATAAATTTACCGGAAGGTTTTGTTCGTTCAATTGGTTATGTTATATCCTTCATTTGTAAGAGCTTGAGTGGGTTCTCATCAGCAACTTTACTTACTTTACTCCTGAGATGTATACGTGTCACTGATCTGTATTACTGCATTTCAATTGATTAGTATTGAGTCAGTGATTATTGAGTCACGTGTCGGATAGATGAGAATGGTAGACAGGAATTCGGTCGGAAATAGGTTCTAGCGATGGACAACCGCTAATCTAGTATTAACCAAACCAATGCATTCGCATGCATGGCAACACGCCAATTCATTAATTAAAATTATCTCGTCAACTTCACATTAGTATTTGGTATTAGTAGTATTAGTTTATTTGGTATCATAGAAACTAATAACTAGAAAATGAATCTGTATTCAAAACTGAGAATGGTGGCAGACTTATGCTTAAAATGTATATCTGCGATTGGAACGGTGTAAATCAGAATTGCAAGTGTACTTTTTGTGAAGCAATAGAACATCTTTATTCAGATACTTGAGAATTGAAAAATATCGATTAATTTGGAAACGATACTAAAATTGCTGATGAGGGAAACATGTGTTCATTTCCATCTAAATTACAAGTCGTCGTGTCATGTATGGGTAATGTTGATCTGTGAAGTGCGTGTATTGAAACACTCAGATAACCCCAAAAACACGTCAGCACTGTAGTTTATTGTGTATGTATCACCACGACTAGAACTGCGTGCCGGGCAAGGTTGAGATTTACGTCAAGGCGCCACAGTTGCATGTCAAACTAACGGGACTGGATACGTGACGTCATAAGATGAAAGTTTTATTCTAATTACCAATGTTGGAGAATTGAAGATTTAGAGATTCGCAATAAAACAGGCTCTTCCTAGTGTCTCCGGGGACTGATTGGTTATTGTGGGGTATCACCGATAATCGCGCTGATTGATGACGACGTTCAAGGCATGAACCGTGAAATTTAGGAGAAATGATCTTCCGCTTCACAAAAGCTTGTAAGATTTCATTCATATTCAAATTCGTAGGCAGGTACACCCTTGTGGGATGGGGTTCTTTAGTAGTTGGTGCTTGCAATGAAACAGTGGCCAAGTAGTTTTGTATTATATTTCTGCCTAAGGAAGTTCGCAACAACTTCGAATTTCAGTTTAGCAAAACTAACACGTTGAAACTTTCCAAAATATTTTCCATGTATTCAGTGTAGTAATGTTGGTGCTATTGCAAAAAATGGGATTCTGGTTACTATGACAACGCGTATGTGAAAAAAATGTTTGTTTTCTGCCGGTACTACTAAAGAGTTATTACATTGCCTGATTAAATATGCGTACACTTCAATAATGTTCTCAAGTACGATCTCGGTACAGGCGTGTGTTTTTTTCTTTAAAAGATTTGTTTTAGTGGTGCATGTAGGCACGTCAATATTTTAGATTCTTTAAGGACTATTTATTTAATTGTATCCACTTTAATTTCAAAACCGTTAGAAGCCCGTACTTCACATGTACTTGATTTATTCATTCATTTAGATTACACAAGCCATTACATTGAATTTATAGCGGTTCATACTATCGAAATCTGGTTTGAACATTCCATCACGTTTCACTAAAGTTTATGATATTTTCAGTTTAGGTCACATACAATATTATTATATTCCACGTTCACTCCCTATTTTTATGAACTGCATACGACCAATGATATCACGAAATTTGAGTCATATAGTTTTACAAATTTCAATTTGAACATTGTATAATTTTAATTTTTCAAATTTGTTTTTGTGTTTTAGTTTACTGCCATTGTATCCCTGTTGTAATTTTTAAACCTTTTGCCCACTTTTTGGCACAAATTATATTTTTCTCATTTCACTGAATATTTAATTTATGATTAATTTTGAAATGAACATAATTTCCCATCTGGTCAGATTTTAAAAATATGGAATTAATCCAAACAAAGGTTTATTAAAATTGAAAGTTGACACAATCGGCGCACGTGCGTATACTCATACACACCGGATACTGTATATCAACTGCAGAAATGTAATCAACAGATGCAAGACAACGGCAATACATTCCGTCTTGAATAACTCTTGAATAGAAAAAATGTACCGATAAGGGTGTTCGTGGAATGATGATTGTTCTATAAATACTGTGGTTCGTGCCACGAGACCGCTATATAAAGTACTTATAATACACAGACAGTTGTATGACTTCGACCATCATGCCAAGTGTAGTATAACAATGCGAGTACTCATCAGCTCAAAATGTGTAAGTCTGTTCAATTCACCGTGTGAATGTATCCTAGTCATTATATTTCACAAGTTTTGTATAACTATAGTAAATTAAACGAGTGCGGCATGTACTTTGGATAACGAGGAAGACATAAACGATGAGCCACGGAGAAACTTGATGTTATTAATCCACTTTCGTGTCTGCTAAACTATAATTAATATGCATTTTTGTATTTGCCCAATCATCAGAAGTCTAGCTCCTGCAACCACGGTGAAATAAATGCACGCAAAGATCATTTCAGGCTCGGTTCGATGGTTCGTAGCACTGCTTGCGTTATCTTACCCTGTGTGCCCTGATGGAATGGGAGATACTGCAGAATAAATAACGAGAATAATGATTATTTTATCTTGTGAAATAAACAAAATATATAACACCATAATTATGAATTATTATTACCAATAAAAAAATGTTGAGACTAAATCATGTGGGATAGAAAATTGAATAGAATATGAACATATTAACTTATAATACTTAGATATTTGAGATAATAAGTGGTAAATGCTTAATTGAGTTACTAACGATCCAAGATGCAGTTGGTTTATTCTCACAGGTTTTGAATGTTCCCCTCTATAGAGACGCTGGTTATTTTGCGAAGCGTAATTGAAGCGGATGAACTACAATAAAGTGGCCGTGGGCTCAGGGAGCAAAGTGCGCTAGTGTACCGAGACGCCTAAAGCGTATCGCAATGGGTATCGCAGGCATGCGATAAAACACAAG